TGTGTGTGTGTGTGCGCGCGCCCTATATCTCAAGAGGATGATAGAGAAGGGATTGCTGCATGGACTTCCCTCCTGGGTGTAATTTCATACTGTCTGTCTGTCTGTCTCTCTTGCGAGCACACATGCCTTTTACCAAAAAAATCTCTCAAAGAAAGTCCAAAGTATATAGTGAAATGAAATGTGTGATTTTTTCCTTTTTTTTTTTTTTTTTTTTTTTTTTGGCCAGGAGGCATGTGCACTTACCAGAGAAAGAGACAGAAAGAGGAACAAAGTAAGGAAGCAACTCCTCCTATGGGGAATAGTCTTATTGCATCTTATTGCAATTCTTTCTCCATTTATCCCTTCTACGGTGATTTTGTGCAAACACACATGTGCCTGACATGTTTTTCAAGCTATAGGATCTGAGCTTTGAACTGTGCAGATAGCCATGTGGGATCAGCCACTTTAACCACCACACCATTGGCTAACCCTAATAAGTGTGTTTAAAAAATGCTTTAGACTGGTTCAATCTTTCTGATTCTTTTGCCTGTACTAGTACAGTATAATATAGTGGTTAAAGGTAGCATCTCTGAAGCCATTCTAGCTATGTGGTCATAGGCAAGTCACCTAACCTTTCTGTACCTCATTATTCTGATCTGTATGCAGACAAGGACAATAAGAATATCCATATCATAGGGTTTTAATAAACAGTCAATGAATTAAAGCACTTATAACAGTGCTGTTTCACTATTTTATGTTAGTTGTTGTTTTGTTAGTATTGCAGTTACTTCCAACATTTTCCCTCATCTGATCTATACTTCACCCAACTTCTAGGGTGAAATTTTAAAACATTTATCATAAAGGTGATATATATGTATGTGTATATATATATATATATATACACATACCTCTACAGGATATTTCTCAACCTGAGAGAGAATCAGTCAATTAATGCCCAGGATCCTAAGCATGGAACATAAGACCCCAGCGAGCTGACCAATTTAACTTCCTCGGCGCGTGACGCATTGCTCTTCCCATTCTCTGCCAAGTATCCTACACTCCAGCCACACCCAGCTACTTCTCTGAGACCATTAATGGACCCCCAAGGTTAGAAGGCTATGAGGATATTTCAGAGAAGTTAAGTGACATCTCCAAAGATATTCTCTGATTCCGAAGCCTTCACTGCTTTCATCAATGCATTTTGCTGCAGCACTTGAGAGCTGTCATACCAAGATGATGTGTTCACATTGTCTGTTTCTGCCACTTGACTGAGCTTTGAGGGCATCTTGTATCATTTGTCTCTGAATTATCTGCACCTGGTACTAAGTAGGGACCAACACGAGATTTACTGCTTGCTTGATGAAACCGGCCGTCATGTAGATAGGCTCACACATGCACTTATTTATACATTAATAAGACACTGACTTCTAGTGAGTTAATCCAATAAACTGAATACTATTACTCCTAAGCACTCATACCTTGACTTGGCTCTTAATGAGAAAGGCACATGGTGAGATTTTCAAAGAGTATGGCAAACCAGACAAACATGTTTGCTCATGAGGGAGATACTGTTCACTCCCCTTCCCCACCCCCACACACATACAGCATGGTCCCCACTTTCTCTGTCTGTTCATAGTAACATTATAGAAAATAACAGATAGGGACCAGAAGATGGCATAGCTGTTATGTCACGAGACTCCCATGTAGTCGACCGCCGTTCGAGTCCTGGACCTGGTGGCTTAAAACTTACGCCAAGCACATGTGCATGTGTGACCCAAATCCAAAGAAGACAATGGTGGAGAAGGGACTGCAGGATGGCCACCTGCAGGGGGCTGACTTCTCACTTTCTGTCTCTGTCATTCTAGTGAGTGCACATGCCCTATTCTCTCTAGGAAAAGGAAAAAAAAAGAATTAAAAAAAAGGAAAGAACAGATATTAGATTCAAAATTTTAGAAAAAGAGGAAGCATGATTATTTTTCACTTTTGACCTCATACAGTGACATAAATGACTGAAGTGTGGTGTGTGTGTGTGTGTGTGTGTGTGTAGTAAACACAATTTGTCACATATATTTCATATCTCTAAAATCGTACTACAAGCCAGTGAGAGAAAAAGAGAGGTGAGACAAGGGTTATTTTCCCCATATTTCTGACAAAGAGACCAAGATTCAGGGAGGTTAAACACAGTCTTTTACTGAAGGGTAGTGTAGGTGGTAACTGCAGAAAAAGAAAAAAAAAGGTGAAAGCTCTGTATAGATATCAAAGTGACATTGACAAAAGACTGCTATAATATATTAGCATTCTCATCCTGACTGACTCAGTCAGCGGGAACAAATTCACAGGGCAGTAGAAAAGAAAATGGGGAGGGTCCTTTTACAATTTGTCAAGTACTGACTACCAGGAACTCATTGTTAAAAGAGAAACAAATCCAAACAACAAAAGCTAATAGCTATTTTTTACCTTTTAAAGGTCCTATACCTAGTAAGTGACAGGGCCCAGAATATGTCCTAGAATTTCTGAATCCAAACTCATACTTTCTCCTGATACTTTCCAGAATTGTATACTTAGGATCTTTGCACTGATAAAAGATGGTGACTATCTTCACAGAAATGCCCTGAACTCCAGGTCTTGGGCACACCAAGCAAAGCCAAACGGTCCAGACACAATGTTCAGTGCTTAGAGTTAGCTGGTCCCAAGAACCCATGGGTTCCACTTCTACAGGTGTAGCCAAAATTGGATGGAAAATGTTACATCATTGCTGACATGTACTATATAGTTAGGACAAAGATGGTGACAGTTGAGTATGAATATATACAGTCTTTTTCCTTGCCATTATTACCTAAACAATATAGTATAACAACTATTTATATGGCATTTACATTATATTAGATATTATAAGGAACCTGAAGATGATTTCAAGTGTGTGGGAGCAGGGCCAGCAGGTGGCATGTGGATAAGGCAGCTGGACTTCCCACATGGTCATCCATGGTTCAAATCCCAGACCTGGTGGCTTGAAAATCATACTGGGGGTATATGCATGCATGCCCAAAATCCCAGAAGGAGAATGTGTGGCCATACCCCTTGGGGGTGATTTCTCACTTTCCCTCTCTGTCTCTTTCCTCTCTGACAAGTGCAGCTTACCTATAGCGAAAAACCTAAAAAATAAATAAAAAATACTTTAAAAGGTATATGGGAGCATATACATAGATTATATGCAAATATTACACAATTCTGTAAAAGTGACGTAAGTACCTGTGAATTTTAGCATCCACAGAAGTTCTGGAAACAATTCTCTGCAGATACTGAGGGACAGTGTATTTCCTTTTCCTCACTTCCTCTCTCTCCACTTTTCTTTGTAAAGTTTTTTTTTTCTCCCCACTCAGTACAGTGTTAGTCAGTAATTCAAACAAAAGGAAAACATAAATGGTACTTCAGTATTAAGTCCCGAGGGCCTTAAGTGATTTATATTCTCTTTCTTCAGCAATATTTGCTATAAAACTACTGTAGGTAATATTTAGAGGAAGTGGATATTTTGCCACAATATCACCTCCTAATCCTCAGAGCATTTCCTTCATATCTATCAGTAGTTCATAAAGACTTTAACACTTTATGAGCAACATGTTGACTTCCCTCTGCAATGGCAAAGGAAAAAAATAAAAATAAACTTTCATTGAAAAGGACCACAATGTCTCCCCAAATGAAATTGGGTGATAAACCAAATAAAATAGGCGCAAAAAAATGGAAGTAGGTTTTAGTTTGTTTTCATATAGGCTGCTCCGAATTGGTATACTGGGAAGATTTATTTGATTTATTTAGTTCAGCCTTCTCTGAAAAAGACCAAACTACAGTGGAATTTTCATCAACTATGTTCAGGATGCTAACTGAAGATGATGATTACTGCTCTGAAATATTAGTGGGGGAGGCAGAAAGAGATACAATAGTATAACACTGTTTGTACCTGAAGACTAAAAGCATTTTTGCAATGTCCACTGGTCTAGGTTATACTGTTCCAATTCTTTATAACTAACAAACCTGACATTTATATTTTTAAGAGTTGATTTTATAGGAAATCAAAGTAGAAATATTTGGGACATTCGATGTTGAATAAACACTTTACACTCAAGAACAGTGCTTTAAATGTGTATGCCTTCAAGTTTAAGGTGACAATTTACTTGTAACAGTACACTGAAAGGATTTTGATTTAATATAGTTATTTTTTTTCTCTCCAGGCTGCAGTCATTTATATAGTTCTCTGTGTATGTGTGTTTTTGTTGTTGTTGTTGTTGTTGTGCTGTATACTCTATGTGATATAATATTTTAATCAATTAACTCTTTAAAGACATAAAATAACTATTTGTTTTAAAAGGGAACTTTATACAACATCTAAAAATAAGAAAATTATTGTCACTCACCACAAATATAAGGTAAACTTATAAATAATACATTGAATGACTGCAAGACAATGTCCTTACATTCTAATAAAGCACTTGGAATCTGCTTAGGGCTCTGAGACTGAGGCTGGCTTTCTGCTTGGAGAGAGATCAGTCCTGGTAGGGAACTGGAGTCTGTCTGGACAAAAATCAGTGTTGAAAGAGAGTAGGAATGGCCGACTATCGTTCGATTCCCAGACTTGGCGGTTTGAGGATCACGCTGGGCATTTGTGCATGTGTGACCAGCATCTCAAGGAGAGAATGGAGAAGAAATTGTGGCATGGCTGTCCATCCTGGGGAGGTGATTTCTCACTTTTCATCTCTCTGTCTCTCTCCAGCAAGAGTAGTGCACATGCCCTGTAGCAAAACCCTGGGAAGAAAAAAGAGAGAAAGAGGGAGAGAGAGAGGGAGAGAGGGAGAGGGAGGGAGGGAGGGAGGAAAGTAAGAATCTTTGTGATCTATTTATTTTCCACAGCAGTGTCCTATCAGAAATCACCATGGAGATGTTGTACCTGCAACATGACCTACCTGAAGTCTTCTAACAAATTTGGGCTGGATCTAAACCATAGTTAGAAATTCTACACTTGCCTTTGATAGATGTGGGATTTGAGCAAGTCACTATTCCTTTCTGAGTCTCACTTTTTGTCATATGAAGAATGGAGGTAATAGCATCTGCATTCTCCAAAAGGTTCTGTGGGTTTGATGAAATGACAATCTGAAAAACAAAACAAAACAAAAACCAGCAGACAGTGGTTGGCCAATTAATTCTACTTATTAAAGAAGTTTATTTTTTAAAAATTATGATTTCATCATTATTGTTGCTATTATTATTATTTTCAATTTGCTGTAGGGCACATGTGCTCACCAGAGAGAGATAGAGAGAAGGAAAGTGAGAAAGCAAGCCACCAGGTCTGGGACCCAAACCATGGTCAGCCATGTGGGAATCCAGCACCTTAACCACCATGCCACCTGCTGGCCCGTAACAAAGTTTATTTCCTTTTTCCATGAGATAAAGAGGCCAAGAATGAGCATGCTCCCATCAAGGTCACACAACACAACAATCCACTGTACCCCCCATCCCTTGCCACTGCCACCATATGACCCCTCAATTAATTCCAGTTACCATCAACCCTCAATACACTATCTCTTCTACAAACATGGAATTTCTGCCTATTCCAAGTCCTCCTCCTCATCCTTTTAATCTTCTTCCTTTACATATAATTTCTTTAAATTTAATTTTATTTTTTAATTGTTTTTCTATAGGGTGAATGAACTCACCAAGAGAGACAGAGGGAAAGTGAGAAATCACCCCTCTCCCCAAGAAGAATGGCCATGCTATAATTCCTTTTCCTCCATTCTCCTCTTGAGAGTTTGGGCACACACACATGCACTTGCACCAGGCATTTTTTTTTTTTAATAGAGATTTTTGCCTTAGGGTGTGTGTGCTCACTGGAGAGAAAAATAGAAAGTGAGAGAGAAAGTGAGAAATCATACTCCAGGATGGGAGGCCATGCCACAATCTTCTCCATTCTCCTCCTGGGATCTTGGGCACACATACAAGTGCCCAATGTGATTTTCAAGCCACCAGGTCCTGGACTCAAACTGTGCTTGGCCAATGTGGGAGTCCAGCGATGTAAGCTCTACACCATCTTCTGGCCCCCGGACATGATTTTTTTTTTGTTTGTTTGTTTTAAGGGATTTTTTTTGCTATAGAGTGTGTGTGTTTGCTGGAGTGACATACAGAGACAACCAGAAAGTGAGAAATACCACCTACCCCCCCCGGGGAGGATGGCCATGTTGCCGTCCCTTCTTCCCCATTCTCCTCAGGGTTTTGGACCTGCATGTACATTCATTTGGGGTGAGTTCAAAGTCACCAGGTCCAGTACTCAAACTGCTGTTGACTACGTCCAGGAATGATTTTGATTTTTTTTTTTTTTTTTAGAGAGAGATTTTTGCTATAGGGTGCATGCTCTTGCCAGAGACACAGAGAGAGACAGAGAGACAGAAAGTGAGAGAGTATGGCCATACCGCAATCTCTTCTCCTCCATTCCTCTCTTGGGATTTTGGGCACATATGCATACACACCCGATGTGTTTCAATCCACTGGGTCCAGGATTCAAATCACTGTCAACTACGTGGGAGTCTAGCAACATAACCATTATGCCATCTGCTGGTCCCTCCAGGCATGATTTTTAAGTGGTGGGGTCCAGGACTTGAAAGCCGGAGTCCAGAGCCTTAGCCATTATGTTACCTGCTGGCCTCACACACAGAAATCTTGTGTAATTCATCCTTCAGTTTTCCTAGAACTCTCTGAGCTTTCTGTAGTTCGAAGAAAATCGCAACCTAATATTATGACAGATTCTCCACGTATAGCCACTGTTCTATTGAGAACTACACTGGCAAAATAAATAGAAGACAGATAGACACATAGATAGATAGATAGATAGATAGATAGATAGATAGATAGATAGATAAAAATTAGGAAAAGAAACTAGTAATAAAATTCAGGTTAACTACTTCAAGGTAGGGGTAAATGGAAAGATTTTGAAAATAATAAAATTCTGTTCTGAAATTGCATTATTTGGGTGTAAGATCATGGAGGGTGGGGGAATAAGTTCTTAAGACAAAAACTGCTTTAAAATCCTATTAGGCTCTTTTTAAAAGACTTCTTGAACATCAAATATCTTTTGCAAAACACTTCATTGATTTAAGTGTAAATTAATCAGAAATGCATGGATTTCATTTCCCTTAGAATACACATGGATTTTTACATCCAAATGCAAAATACCTTTCCTGTTTTCCATCACTTCAAAATGTGAAAGAGTGCTTTAGGTGCTCAAAACAGACTCAAAAGTACTAAGCCTTGCCCTTGATCCTTGCAAAACATGAGAAGCTGTAACTTTGGCAAGAGATTTCTTTGGTCCTCTATGTGAATACTAAAGGAATGTGCTTTCTTAGAATTCCTAACAGAAAAGGAGTAATTAATAAGAAATGTGACCTTGGAAATCTTTCTAGGCTGTAGCATGACACTGCAGAAAAAGCCATTGTGTTCAGGTCTCAGATTTGTTTTCCAACTTCAGCTGGGACTAGATGTCTCTGGTTTCCTCATCTAAAAAATGGGGGAAGAAAACAGGACCCATTTATCTTGCAACATGCTGTGAGTTAGATATAAGATGATAAATCAACAAAAACACATGGAGAACCTTTTCTGTGCTACTGGCATTTCAAAGACAAATATACAAGATACTTCTGTTTGGTTTTTAAAGGGAAGAAACACTCTGGGAATGTATTTTAGCATTTTGGGGGTGGTATGAGAGGATAAGGGCAACGGAGAGAGTACACTGTGTCTGAGGAATCACTTACTTCTTGAAAGGGAAGTTGCTTTGTAAACACTCAGGTACTAAATTATGAGACACCAAGGAGCAGATGAATTCTCATTAGTACTTGGTGTCATTTTAATTATTGTTACTACAACTACTACAATTACTAGAATGGAGATCACCATTTGGGAGCTGAGTTGTTTCCCTATGTTCACTCTTAATTTGTCAGTTGAGGGGACAGCAAGTGGCAGGCATGGTGGTTAAGGCACTAGACGCACATGACTGATAGCGATTTGAGTCCCAGACCTGGCCACTTTCTCTCTCTCTGAGTCTCTATTTGAGTGCATGTGTCCTATAGCAAATTAAAAAAATTATAATGATAATTAATAGAATTTAAAAATAAATAATTATTTTAAAAAATGTGTGAGTTGTATGGACTTTTAACATTTTTCAACTGTCTGCCTCTTAGTCTGTTATCTTTACTGTTCTGTTTCTCCTCTACTGAGTTTCCTGGTCTGATTTCTTTTCACTTTGTTTTGCCATCCTCTTTTCTCCCTCTTTTTTTTTTTTTTCAGTGAAATCTGTTTATCGTCATTGGGCTCCTGATACCAATCTGCTGGGCCATCTGATTTTTCTAACTCTAAATCTGGTTCTATTTCTAGCTATCTGTTGACAATAATGCCATAGTTACCCTTGTAGTTATATGTTGTATTCATTATCTTAAGTAATATAGTTTCTGGGCCAGCTAGCTAGCAGAGTGGTTAAGGTAGATGGATACCACAGAGCTGACTGTGCGGTTTGAGTCCTGGACCCAGCAGCTTGAAAAAAAATACACGCCAGGCACATGAGCTCAAGTGGCCAAAATCCTGAAAAGAAAATAGAGGAGAAGGGATGTGGGATGGTCAACTCCCCTTTGGGGTGCTTTCTCTCTGGCTCTCCCCAGTGCACATATCCCATAGCAAAATAGTAACAATACAATTTTTGAACATTGACTACAAATACATCTTGGGTCAAGGTTTAGGATACACTGATAGGAACAGTAAAGTCTCTGCTTTCAAGGAGCTCAGAATCAATCTAGTAAGGGTGGCAGACAAATAAACATAAAATGATCAGACGGGGGCCAGACAGTGGTGCAGTACTAAAAGGTAATGCTCTGTGAGACTGGCCCACAGGGGCTTACATCCAGAAACCTCCATCAACAGGTCAGGAATGTGCGTGCCCATGATCCAGGACGGGCTGAAGATGAGGGTGGATTGTGGCGTCAAGACTCTGTGATGCACATTCTCTCTGTCTTTTTCTCTCTCATGAAAGAAATAAATAGGTAAACATTGCTAAAAAGTGACAAAGTTATATTAAATTTTATGCTGTGGGTATGTGCAAGGAGTAGCAGGAGCATATTAGGGAAATAAGTGAAGATAAGAGTGTAAGTCATATTTGTGATCCTTTTGGAAAGATATGATGGGCACTATTTATAGATATACTAAAAGAAGAAGGAAGTCATTTCTGTGCTCAGGGTTTATCCAAGAAGCTGATCCCAACTGTATCCCCATAGAATGGAGCCAAGGCCTAGCAATTTTTTTTTTTTTTTTTGGTTATAGGGCACATGCGCTCACCAGAGAGACAGATAGAGAGACAGAAACTGAGAGGTCACCCCCTAGAGAGGATAACCACATCGCAATCCCTTCTCCATCATTCTCCTCTCAGGATTTTGGGCACACACGCACATGGTCTGGTGTAGGTTTCAAACTACCAAGTCTTGAACAGTGGTCAGCCATGTGAGAGTCCAGCAATGTAACCATTATGCCATCTGCTGATCCCTCTAGTAGCAACTTTAAGGAGTATCTTTGGAAGGTGGGAGAGGGTGGTGCTTGAGCCCCTCTGTAATCATTACCAGCATGATAACAATGTATCTCCACATAGATACACAGTCTGTGTAAAAATGTGTTCTTGCTATGCAAATTTAGATTTCAGGAAAGTTTTCAAACAAACCAGATCTTACTCTTTAGCTTCAACTGAGGCATTTCTGCCCCGATTTTTTTCCCCCACAATCTTCCCAGTCTCCAAAACCCATGGCTTCCAGGCAATTGGATATAGGAAAAACTCCCAGCAGAGATGATTAATCAGGAAATGGATATGAGGCCGACCCACTGTCTGCAAGGTTCTTCTCTGCAGGCCTGAACTGGTAGGGGACACATCTACCAAATGCCCAGAACACTAGCATGAGGGTGGCTAAACGGTTTCTCTGTCTGTAAATCGAATGCTGTCCTAAATGTAAACTGATATCAGAGCCTGTTTCATCCAAGAACAGGGGAACCCTCTTTC